GGTGATCAGGATTGAAGTCTGGCAACTTACGTATAAAATCAAGAGCTTTAGCACTCTCCCATGTCTTGACGGAAGAACGTCTTAATATAATTTCTACCCATCGTTATTTCACCAGTGAGAAGAATACATTCTATATAGAAGTGATCAATAAAGTCTACCATCACTGTGGATACGATCATTTAAGGGCCATTATGAGAAATAAAAGGTATAGTCCCTATTCCATCTGTATAGTTCTGCCATTCATTATAGTTAGAAACCCTAATCGTCAAAGAAGTCTATCAGGTATTTCTAAAGGGCCGAGGCATTGAAAGAAGACGTGCGTTTGGGCTAAAAGAAGCTGTTTGGCCTAATCGGAGATCGCTCGATATTTGGATAGTGGCGATGTCACTATTCGACGGTGAATGGATGAATAACGACAGAGCACATCACCAAAAGGCACCTAGAGAAATAACTGAACAACGGCACTCACAGCTCCGCGACGTGTAGCTGGTGCATTATATGATGGCTCAGAGAGAGGAAGCTGAGCGCATGGGTGGCAACTATACTTGACCTCTGCGCATCGACAAGCATGTCTGCAGTGGTGCCGGACTCATCCAACCTGGGATTTTGAGTTGTTGTAGTATAATTGATGTGCGATGAGCTCGAATTCAGTCCGGTTATCCAGCAACGACGTACCTTGAGACGCCCAGGACAGCGGTGGGATACCAACCTGATTGTCGCCCACCACACGGCGGACATGGGATGACATTTCCTTTGACAACCGGACCCCATCCGCACACCCTTCAGCACGACAGTACGTCATGCCCAGTTGTACCGCCCTTCATATGGTGGCATCATCTTCTTAGATTGTATATAGATGCTCTTAATTTCCAAAATCACTTTCTCATAAGTTTTTATAAACAACTTCATAAAACAGCCATTTTGTCAGTAAATGTGATTTGATAAACAATGTATTTCCAAGATATACTTCAAATTTCACAGTTGTCTCTGAATATCTATTCAGTTCAAAGATATCCCAATGTTGTAATCTCGGTTGAATATTTCAATTGGTCTTTATTTCGGAAACTCGTGGTAGTCTATCTCGGCCACACTTCCAAAATCCTAACAAGTGGTCAAGTAACTTTTTTAGTCTTATCTGAACCTACCAGCACAAAATCAACAACTTCAGCAGCTTTGTTGTCCTCGTTTCTAAAGCTTTGCCTTCATTCCTCCTTCATCCCATTAAGGTGATTGTAGTTTCAACTTCTAACGGACTCTGAGATAATATCATACTTCACCAACGCACACATAGACATGAGGTTTATGTTTTTACCTATGTTGATAGAACGAAATTAACAGGATTTTATAGCTAATATGTCTAAATCGTTTGGAAAGTATAGCCTAATTATCTCTTCAGATAAAAAGATATACGAGTTATTAGATATTAAAAATTATTTTATTTACTAATATATTTATAATGTACTAGCGGATGTGTACCCGGCTTCGCCCGGGTTTTATCCGAGTGAAAGTTTGCCTAACGAATATTATATATTATGAAGTATAATAAACAATGCTAAAGATTAGTTTTAATTATTAATCAAGATTGTGTGTGAATATGTGAGAAAGATGTAATATCGTTGTTGTTTTCTTGGCCGACTGTTTTACATATGGTGTTATCTTAAAATTGCTTGTTTTGAATATTTTTTTAGATTGAGTTGAATGAATTGCTGATTTTTTTTTTTGTATTTATATATAAATAAAATTAACTCTGTTGAATATTTTTGTATTTTATCGATAACAGCAAAGTTATGTATTTTAAAGTTAGGAAAAATATTTTGATGTTAAGCAAAACCTGCTCCATCTCGTTTTACATAAATGTTGAAAATTTGGTCGAAATTGATGCATTGTAACGAAAGTTTTTAGCGAACACCACTTATGAAATTTCCATTTATATAGAATTGAAACAGCAAGTAGGTACACAGCGTGGTAAGTTTCTTTATTGGGAACTACGAGCTTTCGGACATCAGCTGCCCTTCATCAGGTACAATGGGTGGTTGGAAAAAGTGAACCAATATATATATGCAGTAAATTAGCATAAGAGAAAGCTAACTAACATCTATTTAAAATAATTAAGAAATTTACATAGGAACTAAAGATAAAAGTACGAAATTTCTAAAAAATACGAAATTTCTAAAAAATAGACTAAAAATCTGTATATGACGGATAAAAGGTAAAACACGAGAAAAAAGGATGGGAAGACAAGAAAAGCGTAGGCATCTAGGCACAATGAAGGAAGGAAGCGAAATAAGATGTCAGTGGCCAAGTTTAGAAAAAGCAGTATATTGAGGGGGGAGATCTATTTTTCTATTAAAACTAGGAATGGAGTTGGATACGAGAGCCTCCAGGACCAAACGTTGATATTTATTCTTAACTTCACTGTATACCGGAATCGTGTTGCGTAGGTTGAAAGAGTGGTTAAATTCGTGGCTGTGTTGATATAGTAGTGACTTACGATCATGGGAGCGGATGTTACGTTCGTGTTCTAGGACACGAGTGGCAATGGTGCGGCCAGTTTCTCCGACGTATGATTGTGGACAGTCGTTGCACGGTATTCTGTAGATGGTATTGGAGGAAGATTGGGGGCTGGGCCTGACGGAGCTTTTTGTGAGGGGATGGCGTAACGATGTGCCTAGGGAAGGTGATTTTTTAAAAAACGTGCGGATGCCAAATTTACGCAGATAAAAACCGATGTCGGAATTCGTAGTAGAAAACGGAAGAACGCAAACATCTTTAAACGGGGGAGGAATAGAACTGTCGTAGTTTGGTGAATAAAAATGTCGATCGATAAAGTTACGTGGGTAACCCGCGGATAAAAGGTGTAGGTAAACGATCCGTTTTTCGGTTCTACTGAATAAAGGAAGGGAGCAATGAGTAAAAACGCGCTTAGAAAGAGTTTTTACGGTGGTAATTTTATGGGAGACGGGAGCATGTGATGAAAAATGCAAGTAAGAAGGGGTAAAACCAGCTTTACGAAAAACGGTTGTATGGAAACGACCCTGGAGGTTAACCACTAAAACGTCTAAGAACGGGATACAATTAAAACGGGAAGAATTGTGGGTAAAACGTAAATCGGAATGATAGGAGTTTAAAACAGTCAGGATAGGGGAGTGGTCAGTGCTCTGATGCAGACAAAAAATGTCATCAACATATCTCGCCCACATTACTACTCCTAGGTGGATCTGGGAAACTAACCATCGGTCCAAATATGACATTACGATCTCAGCTGCGGTTGTAGAGAGAGGGCTGCCCATGGGGGAGCCTCTTATCTGCAAGAAAAAGCGGCCATTAAACTCTAGGGTGTTCATGCCCAAGCAGATGTTGAACAGCTCGAAAACTACTTTTTGATCTTTGTTAGAAACAGAAGGAGAGTTGAGGAGAGTGAGCCTAACCCATCAAAAATCAAAGAATGTGGGAGGCTTAGGAAGAGAGATGTGACGTCAAAAGTGGACATAGTGGGGCTGCCAGACTGGGAAAAGTTTTTTAGTTTGGCGATAAAATCAGAGGAGTCTTGAATGGAATAAATATTGTGGGCTTTGACGAGGGGCTTAAGGAAGTTTGAAAGATATCTAGCCAAATGCAAAGCGGGCGAAAGATGATATGCGACGATGGGCCTGAGAGGGATATCGGGCTTATGAGTCTTAGGGAGCCCATAAATATAAGGAATGCTGGAGATGTTGGAGGTGAAAAGCTTGAATTGTTCAGGGGTGATGCAGCCCTTCTTAAGGAGGGACCTGAGTGATGCCCTGTAATTGCCTGAAATGGCCTTGACTCGGTCAGCGGAAATTTCTTGAAATGTATTAGGATCAGAGAGAATGTTGAGCATTTTCTTACTGTAATCTTCCGCTTTCATCAAAACAACCTGTGAACCCTTGTCCGATCTAGTGATGATGGTGTCACGTTGATTCTTTAGAGCCTTCAGGGTGGTGAGGTCTCTCTTGACAGCACAAGGAAGGGAGAAAGACTTCTTTGAATCAGCAAGGAGTTTGCCAGTAATGGTGGAGCGGATGTGGTGCTTATCTGTCAAGGCCTGGTGCTGGAGTGAGGCCTCGATGCAGCTCACAGTATACAAAAGATCAGGTTTCTTGGGTAGGCAGAAATTAAGGCCCTTCTTCAATAGGGATATTTGTGGTGCGGAGAGTTCAGTGTCCGTTAAATTCACTATATTGTCCTTAGGAAGGGACCGGGGAGGTGAAGGGAACCCATGCTTCATGCGCCAGAAATCGAGCTTACGTTGATGTCGGAGCCCTATATCGGATTTCAGAAGATCCACTCGGGAGGTTAAGCTCAGGAGAAGGGAACCGAGTTCAGCGGGGGGAATTCTCGGGGAAAGCAAACCAAGGAGGCCTCTGATGGTTTTTTGCAAAAAACGGATCATAGATCTGGAGCCTCTGATCCTCGAAATGAGGAGTTGTTCTTCAGCTCTTTGGATGATGCGTGAAGAGTAGTGGTTTCTCACGGGGTCTCGGATCCTGAGAGAAGGCGGAATGAAGGAGGACTGGAGGCATTTTTGATTGAAAAGGAGGTGACAATTCCAACGGGCCAGCTGTAATGACTTCTTGGCGAGCTGACGCTTATAAAAGGCAAGATGTACAAAGTTGGGATCAGACATAATATAGCCACGCTCAATAAATTGAAACAGCAAGTAGGTACACAGCGTGGTAAGTTTCTTTATTGGGAACTACGAGCTTTCGGACATCAGCTGCCCTTCATCAGGTACAATGGGTGGTTGGAAAAAGTGAACCAATATATATATGCAGTAAATTAGCATAAGAGAAAGCTAACTAACATCTATTTAAAATAATTAAGAAATTTACATAGGAACTAAAGATAAAAGTACGAAATTTCTAAAAAATAGACTAAAAATCTGTATATGACGGATAAAAGGTAAAACACGAGAAAAAAGGATGGGAAGACAAGAAAAGCGTAGGCATCTAGGCACAATGAAGGAAGGAAGCGAAAAATGCATCGGCCGGGAATCGAACCCTGGCCGCCCGCGTGGCAGGCGAGCATTCTACCACTGAACCAACGATGCTTTAAAAAAATCAAATTCATTTATCGTCGCGACCAGTGCTGCGCCCTAGCGGTAAAAGACTGGAACTAACGCTTTTTGGTTTTTTATTTTTTTTAAAAAGCACATTAGCTTTTTTAGTTTTTTTGAATAGCCTATATGTTAAACGAAATCTTCAGCTACCTACATGCGAAATTCCATAATGATTGAGTCAGTAGATTTTGCGTGATGCGATAACAAACATCGATTTAGCATTTCATTTTTATATATATAAGGAAGGATATAAAATATATTTTTAATGATTAAACAAAAAGCATTTTTGTGCATAATATACATATTTAATTTAAAAGGCATATAGTGGATCAAATATAATTTATTTTACCAATATTAATTATATTTTGATCCAATATATACCTATTTAATTAAAGATCTATTTATGGATTGCTCTATTTTCAAAAGAATATACATATTATAATATTACACAATTATTCACTATATTGTACAAGAAATTGTTGAAAAAAATCTTGTTCACATATATATTATATATAAAAAGAAATATTTATGAATTATTGAAAAGATAAATGGGATCGGCACGACTGGAGAACAAAAAGAGGATACATGAAAATATAAAAAAAAAACCTTTTAAAGGTTAAAAATATATTTTAAAATATATCAAATATACATAACTAAATTTGAATAATAAATATAAAAAATTCATAAATATGTGATATACATCAATTACTTCACCTTTAAATTTTATAAATGTATGTTTATATTTGTACTAGACGAATGGCCCGGGCAACGCCCGGGTTTTACCCGAGTGCGAATATATTTTAAAAACGTTGTCTTGGGTGGTCGCTATAGACAGGGTGGTCTGTATAGACAGGTGTATGTATCACACAGCTGATAACAGGGTTGTCTAGTGTGGCTGCTATAGACAGGGTGGTCTGTATAGACAGGTGTATGTATCACACTGCTGATAACAGGGTTGCCTAAAGTGACCGCTATAGACAGGGTGGTCTGTATAGACAGGTGAATGTAACACACTGATGATAACAGGGTTGCCTAAAGTGACCGCTATAGACAGGGTGGCCTGTATAGTCAGGTGGATGTATCACACAGCTGATAACAGGGTTGTCTAGAGTGGCCGCTGTAGACAGGTGTATGTATCACACAGCTGATAACAGGGTTATCTAGAATGGCCGCTATATACAGGGTGGTCTGTAAGACAGGTGGATGTATCAAACAGCTGATAACAGGGTTGTCTAGAGTGGTCGCTATAGGCAGGGTGGTCAGTGGTCGCTATAGACAGGGTGGTCTGTATAGACAGGTGGATGTAACACACTGCTGATAACAGGGTTGTCTAGAATGGCCGCTATAGACAGGTGTATGTATCACACAGCTGATAACAGGGTTGTCTAGAGGGGGGCAGGGAGGACACGTGTTCGCCGGCGGCAGCCAATGGGCGCGCATTCTATCCGTGAGCTTCAGAATAAGGCAATTATATAAGTAGATTAAAGCGTTTAAACAAGAGTGTTTTATATACAAATTGTAAACATAACGAAACACATCAGTTTATACTGGCAACACTATTTGGTATAAGGTATCTGTATATAACATATAAAATATTGTTTTATTTTATATAGATAAAGATTGGCGTTTTACATCTCGGAATATTAGTAAATTCAATATTTTTCTATTCTACAAGTGTATTTCTTGCATTTTTATTTAAATCCATCTAAATGTATGTCCACAAATATCAGGTAAAGAGACGCTTCACCTGTTTTATAACAATATTGAAATTTCCATTTTGTTTGATATTTGACACACAAAAAAAAAATTATATTTGACGCCAATCGTGATGTAAAAAAATCCTAGAATTTCACCCAACGCTATCTCAAACGACGGGAAACAAAACAATTCGTCTGCCATGTCTGAGCTAGGCCTAATGTTAATAGGCTCCATCAATCGGGGGCTTTGCCATTGGGCGCCAAACAAGGCGGAAGAAGGGGAGATCTATGGGGTCCTCTTCATCGAAGCCGCGCTGTCAAAACAATGGTCCTTGCGCGACCTGATGTACGACGGCCTTGCTTGGTCAGACCTGTCTTTCTCTTTATGTGTATAGATATATATTGTATTTATGATGGTTTTAACAGGTTGAGACATATGTTCGTGTGGGCAGAGAATTTTATTTAAAATAATTTTAAATATTTTTTTTCGAAGAGCATAAAACCTCATGTGTGTGTTGTGCCTAATACTATCTCTCTCCCTTCTTCAGATCATTTATATATATTAAATTATAATTTCAGCATCTTTAAGTTTTGTATAATATTCATTCCTTAGATAAATGTGTGTCCTAGACCAAAAAGGTATAAAAATTTAATTTGTTGCTTAATAAGACCTTAATAATAACATAATCTCTTTGATGACGGAAGATGAGGATTATATAGAGAATGTATTAAGACTTCAATATCCCCCCCGCCCCTATTTTAACATTTTATATTAGGTCAGTTTTGACAAAGGGAAGAGTATTATATTTGTATATACATGATGGAAAAGTACCTTATTACGACTGATCAAAGCAGGGTATTTGATATTTATAACTTCTTAAAGCCTCGATCTTGTAAGCAACGGCATATCAAAGACGTGCCTTTCAAGAGTACGTTCAAATACAGTTGCTGTGTCTGCACTCAACATGACTTTGAGCTTTTCTATTTCAAATCATTATAATATTTTAATGGAGGCTTAGATAATAATCAAATTTTCTCAATTTCCGTTGGTGGTCAATCGAGTGAAAAGCTTAACGCCCTATAAAATTGTGACGTCGGTGTAGACATCCCTTAGAGGCACATCCGCTATCTATCCAGGACGAGATTGTGGGTTTCTGAACTGAATCACCAGAACTCAAGTATTTAAATCACTTCATCACCATTTCATGGTATTCAGATATTTTAGGAATCTATTTCTGAATGGATCTTCTTGTAGGAAAACATTTTATTCCAAAAGAATCTTAAAAATCATCTACGAGCAATTTTATTTCCAGTCATTATATCGAGTGCACTGAATTCTCCCGAAGAAACCGACCAGAATGGACAAGGTAGCTTGGAACAGTATTGTGGCAGTAGTTGAAGGTTTCCTTGGGAATAACAAGGTTCATAAATATGTAAAGATGGTGTAAACGCTGGTTGAGAACTATGGCAAGATAGGTAGCAGGATGTCTCTAAAACTCCATATCCTTGATGCTCAGATTAAGTAGAAAATTGAGAATTACTCTCGGAGGATATAATGGGAGGTCTATTCCAAGGACAGTACACTGACAGGGCATTTCATATGGCTGATTTAAGATGGCGGTGTGCAGTATTGTCTACACATTTGTAATTATTATTGTAATCATTTTTTATCCTTATCGTGCAACTTGAAGGTTGCTGATGGCTTTGCCTCCAGTTGCACAATAAGGAGATGCCTTTTTTTATTATTATTTACGCATCTTATCCCAGTACAATTTCACATTTGTACTATTTTTTTTTCACAAAATTTTCTTTGTTTTGAAATATTTTCATTTTGGTGAAAATATTGTTTGTTTATAAAAATGTGTTGACTCATTTACGTAAAGGGAGATATGCAAATTTAAATATATAAAAAAAATTCTCCTTAGCACAAATGCAAACTTTGAAATGTAGAATGGTTATGTTCTAAACATTTTTGTGAGACAAGAAAACAAGAAATAGCACTCACACACACGTGCCTCAAAAATAGGTTGATATTTTGTATATTTAATTAGTATTATTAAATGAATGAAATATTTAATAACTCTAAAAATATTAAATAAAAATTGTTTATAAAATATTTAGAGAACAGTAATTATAAGTTTAAAAACATATATAAAATATTCAGAATTAATATATATTCAATACATTGCGATTAAATTTAATTAATCTTATAGAATAAAATTTATGACTCGCGCGGGAAAACTATATTTGAAAGTATATTTGTATTGACATTAGCGTGCCATCTGTTATAAAAATAGTTTGAATTTCTTATTTTTATATTGTGTTTAAACATTTTAAAATACCACTATATAACATATTTTATCTTTGGCACGTGTTATTTCTTATTTTCTCAAGTCTATAAAAAAGTATTAAAAATTGCCATTATGCCTTCTAAGTTTTCTTGTGTGCTCAGGAGAAAGTTTATATATGTATATATATATATATTTTTTTTTTTTGCATATATCCTCGCAAATACGTATATGGGAACAAATTTTATATTTATGAACAGACAACAACTAGAGATTAAAATTAATATTCATTTTTATTTTCAAAAAAATGTGAAGATGACAATGAGTGATGTTACTTGTTCAAAGTTCCTTTTGTCTTGATAAATACTCCACAGACAGCTAAGTAAGTCTGCTGGATGCCTTTTCCCCCTGACGCCATTCTATTTACCTATATAACGTATAAATGTATCAGAGCATGTAAATGTTTAATATAATCACATATTGTTTTGAAAATAGAGCAATCCATAAATAGATCTTTAATTAAAAAGGCATATATTGGATCAAAATATAATGTATTATATTTACCAATATTTCAGTTGGATTAACGCCAACCTTTTTCAAGGTATTATAACATATTTATATATTTCAGTCAACTGAAATATTGGTAAATAAATTATATTTTGATTCAATATATGCCTTTTTAATTAATGATCACATTTATGAAAAATATATAATTATGGATTTCTCGATATGGGGAACAAAGAAAAAAGGATTCATAGTGAATTTACTGATAGATTGATTTATAATTCAGACGATATATACAAAGTTGGTGTATATATATTTTATACGTTAGGAATTAAAATATGTCAAAAATTATAATATTAAAATATATTAGTGATTTATATGAAATAGCGAATAAAATATAATATGGTGAGACCAGTTAATTTCCATATTGGGTGAATGACCCGACTTCAGCCGAGATCTTCCCAAGGGAATGCTTACACATACAATATTGTATTGCCCCAAA